GGGGGGGGCAAACAGGGATAGGGGGGGCACGAAGGAAAAAGCGTGGGATTGGGGACCACTGTTCTAGGGACTGGCACCAGCGGAGACAGCAGCTCCCAAGAGGAGGCAGATATCAGTCCAGTAACAGCATTTCTACAGAGCGGGGAAAGGAGACCTGCCGAGTGGAAGGGACTCGCCAGAAGAGACATCAGAAACTCAGGGGGCCTAACTCCCACTCTCCTCCCACCAGACCCAGCTACACAACCCAGGAGACTTGGCTCCCAGTCAGCAGCCAGAGCCCGCACCACTCCCAGCCCCGCGCTCGCATTAACCCGCACCTCCAGCCTGGGGACTGACGATTGGAATTAGACACTCGGCCCCAAGTGACACTCACCGTAGCCACCACCGCAGGGGAAGGCTCCCGTCGGGCCATGGTTTTGTGGTCTCCTACGTCCCCATGATAGGACCTTCTCCCCCAGAGAAGTCCCCCAAGGCCAGGGGCTCTAGCACCAAGAGACCGAACACAAACTGAAACTAACAAGTTCTGCAACTTCCTGCCAGCAAAGGGCGAGAAAGCAACAGGAAAGGGGGGAGGGGGCAGACGAGGAAGCCGGGCAACAAGTAACTCTACTTCCAACACACAGAATTAACCCTCCCCTACCCACAGGACAAGGACCAAACATTCAGCCCTCACCCCATGCACACTACAACCAACCCCAAGGGACAAAGACCCAGTCGTTTTTAACCCTTCCTTCAGGGTAGCAGACACTCAAATTCCCTACTGACCCTTTGTAAAACTCTATTAAACTTTCTATGAATAATGCTTCATATATATGCCACTAACTGATGCTCTTCATATTATCTAAATATATATTTATATACAGATACTCAGTGCTTTTTTGTGACGGTACTGCCCGTATGCAGTACAGTCAGAGCTCAACAACGTCCCCTGGAGTACCCGCACCTTTTTTTTAAACAAAAAAAGCACTGCAGATACTGTAATAGAGACTAGACTCTTAGGTTACTTTGCACTTTCCATAAAAGAGTCTTGCAACATTTGTTTGAACACAATGTGAACACAACAATAAATGCTGACGTTTTCCTTTTATTTTCACCCTTTTAAGATTTTGGATTAACTGTCATTAAACCAGTTTGTGCCCCCTTACAGCTGCCATCTGGCGCCCCCCATAGGTTGGCGTCCAGGGCAGCTGCCCAGCTAGCCCATGCCTTAATCCGGCCCTGGTGATCACAGAACTGCAAAGTGCTCAGTTACTAGGCCTGAATCACTGGACTATACTGAGGCGCACACACTCTGGTTCACTTTGGTTGCTTTTGTGCTATTTATCCAAACAAGAAAATTATTTTAACGTTTTTCATTAAGAAATGAGACAGGACCTGCAGAAAAAAAACTAGCATGAGATCCAAGTAATCAAAGACTATTATAAAACCAAAACACAAGGAGGCAGACTTTATGTCTGTTAAACTAACTTCCAAGAGCTTTGCTAGGCAATAATCTTTTAATATATTTTTTGATCTGGAACTACCTATGGCTATATTTAAAAAACAGAAACTAGAGAAAATTGGTAACTATCTCTTCACTATCTGTCTAAACAATTTGGTTAGGCTGTGCAAAAATGGCTAATCATGAAACAGGGTTTCTGTGCTTACAATAACATCAGATGACTCCTGCTTTATTTAATGTGATTTAAGAGAATGAACAAAATGATACAAAGAAGAGCTCTGTGTAAGGCTGGAAGTTTATTTCACTCCCCAACAGAAGTTGGTCCAATCAAAGATATTAATTAAACCACCTTGTCTCTCTAAACTAAAAGAGAGTAATAAAAGCCCATGGTTAAAAAAGAATATGAACACAGCATGGTTTATATGGCTAACTGATAAAGTACTCCCTTATTTAAGTGTTGTCTCTTCCCTTCATAAGTTAAGACAAGGCCCTTGTACAAAAGTTCCCTCCTTTACCCAAATATGTGATCACACCTTCTTTGTCCCCAGGTTTACGATATGCTCAGCCGGAAGGAAAAAGCAGGGTAAGCTCTTCCCAGATTGCACTCAGCTCTGGCAGTAGAGATGGAAAAGGCTCGTTCAGTCTTGTCTAGCTTACCTACTTTTTTTAACATGGCCATACAGGATTGTTTCCCAGGAAAAAAAATCTAATGTACTCATGTGAAGAATGAAGTCACACCCTAATTAAGAAAAAAATTGCCAAGTTTTTCTCATGTCATTATGTTAGTGGATGAGCTTTACCCAGGGTGGATTTGATATAAATCAAATTGATTTAAATCATGATTTAAATCACTAGTTAAAGAAGACTGATTTAATCACAGTTTTCTTCATAAAAGTGCATTCTTGTTAGTTGTCATGACCCCAACATTACCTTAATACATATTCTTCACAATTCAAAGATAGATGTAGGTTTCATTTTTAGAAAGTACACACTATACATTTTTAAATAGTGATTTATTTTGAAAAATTTCAGATTAAATTTCTTAATGTACTTTTAAAGTTATGTCAGAACATGAATGATTGTTTGATTATTTCATTTACCAAAAAGTAATTGAAGCAGATATTTATTAAGTCATTGGGTGGTGAACTATCTCCAATTCAACAGGTTAATCATTCATATTTGGTGGATTTTCTTGCTATGCTATATTAGGAGGAGAACATCACGAGACAGACATTTAAATTGTTTTAATTAACTAAAACAATACTATGTATTCTGGATTTTTTTCTTCAACAGCAAATATATAATATTTTAACAAAACAGGTATATGCTTTTTTGAATTTAGTTAAACATTCAAGTTTTTTTAAATCAAGTTTGTTTTTGTTAAAATTGGTTTTAAATGAAATAGTTAAATGAAATATAATTTTAAACTGAAAATTAAATTAAGGTCAGGCAGGTCAACATGAGAAACGTCAAATACTGGTTTCTATTCATGTAACTCTTTGAAACGTTGCACTTTTAGAGAGAGGTAAGGGCACTCTGTGTACACAAATTTGCAGAGGGGCAATAGGGTTGAGGTCAGTTATTTCTCACCTAAATATATTATTTATTTGTTTTAAAACATTTTTGTTATTAACAAGCATGCTAGCTCTAGAGACACAAAACCACAATTTGAGAACTGCAAAACTAAGCATCTCTCATGGTATTTTCTAGACTGAGCACTCAGTCCCATTGGGTAAATAGAAAAACTATCCTAAATAATCTATACAGAAACCTCTGGAACCCCATAAGATGGGGTCCCTAATCCATGACATATTGAAACTCATTTACATAACTTTTCTTAAACATTACATACATTAGAATTTATCATCCTTATTCCATGATATCTTTGAGCTATCTTTTTTTCCTCAAAAAGCATTTTATAAAAAAAATCCGACAAATTAAAAAATCCATTTTTTAAAATCAATTATTTCTATCCACCTCAGCTTTACCCCTACTGATCCTAGATTTCAGCTTCCCGAACCAACAGATGTCCCGAGATCCATGCGGATTTCAAAGGATTCCCTAGAGCAGTGGTTTTAAACTAAGGCTACATGTCCATCTAGAGCCAAGGCCATCCCTTGGGTACAGTAAATCAGAGCAACCACTCCAGGATCCATGATTTGGGAGGCCTGTATTTTGATAAAATCAGAACTGTCACAATATTTAGCTCTTTGTCCCAACCAATTTTTGATTAGGACACCATTTGTCCCAATATTCAGGTGAGCGTGTAGCCAAAATGTAGTATTTTAGTGTTTGTATAAAAGTATAATAAGTATAATGAAGGTATTAAGTCCTATATAATCTTTTGCTTATAAGATCTGCATGCTTCTGTTTCACCCTGCCAGCCACTCTTCAGCTGTGTCTACACTGGCGCATTTTTGCGCGAAGACGGCCACTCTTGCGCAAAAATATGCCACCTGTCTACACTGACCGTGCGTTCTTGCTCAAGTAAACTGATGCTGTACTGTAGAAAATCAGGGCTTCTTGCACGAGAACTCTGACGCTCGCTCTCAGGAAGAAGCCCTCTTGGGCAAGAGTTCATCCAGAAGAGGCCAGTGTAGACAAGCAACATGAATTTCTTGCGCAAGAAGCCCTATGGTTAAAATGGCCATCAGAGCTTTCTTGCGGAAGAGAGCGTCTCCACTGCCATGGATGCTCTTGCGCAAAAGCACATCTCTTGTGCAAAAGCACATGCCAGTTTAGATGCTCTCTTGTGGAAGAGTTTTTCCACAAGAACTCTTCCGCAAAAGAGTTATTGCGCAAGAAGCTACCAGTGTAGACGTAGATTTCATGATTAGCAGGAAGGAATGGCCTGTGCTATTGGTAGATACACACATGGGCTGTGTCTAGAATGAATCCCTTTTCCGTAAAAGGGATGCAAATTAGACACATCGCAATTGCAAATGAAGTGGGAATTTAAATCCCCCCCACTTCGTTTGCATAAACATCGCTGCCGCTTTTTTCCAGCTCGGAGCTTTGCCGGAAAAAAGCGCCAGTCTAGACGGGGATCTTTCGGAAAATAAAGCCTTTTCCAAAAGATCCCTTATTCCTCTTAAAAAAAGGAATAAGGGATCTTTCGGAAAAGGCTTTATTTTCCGAAAGATCCCCGTCTAGACTGGCGCTTTTTTCCGGCAAAGCCACGAGCTGGAAAAAAGCGGCAGCCATTTTTATGCTAATAAAGCGGGGGAGATTTAAATCCCCGCTTCATTAGCAATTGCGATACGTCTAATTTGCATCCCTTTTATGAAAAAGGGATGCAATCTAGATGTAGCCATTGGGTAAACTGATTAGGGCATGTTAAGGCAGGGAGAGATCATGATTTGTTATGATCATTCCTTGTATCTTAGGACATGGTTTCATTACAATGTTTGCTATAAGCTCTTGCTTCTTGTCTGCATTATAAACTAAGTTGTGCTTCTGGTCTGCGCTGCAAACTCAGTTGTGTAAAAGTTTTTTGTAATTTTTTTAGTAACTATATAACCCTTTCTAAAATGTTCTTTGTAAAATTACTTGGTGTGAGTGAAGAACGAATGCATAGTTAAGGATAAGTGTAAAAGCCATTACAAAGAAATGTCCAGATGGTCAAGTGAGAAACTTGGAAAGACCAGGAGACAATCAAAAAGCATCCATTGTGCCAGATGCTGAGTGAGTTACTAGAACTGACAACCTTGGAGAGAGGAAGACATCTCCAAAGGCAAGAAAACAAATAAGACATAAGGAAGGAAAGCCTAACAATAACCAAATGACAACTATGTAAAACCCCAAGATTAACACCATTTAAGGATTAACAATTGCAGCGTGACATCGTAAAATCCATAGATTCAAATGGGAACTTACAACTATAAAAATAGGGTGTATTGCTATGGTTCTTTGGGTTCAATTGGGGCAACTGGTGCAGAAGGATGCAGGTGTGCACCAGCCATGGGATCACCCACTCCATGTGACTCCTCTTTGTACCACCAGGAGAGGGCCAGAACAATGTCCCCTCCTACCTCTGCTCTGCCCCCGCCCCAACCACTCCTCTTTTGCCTCTTCTAAGTCCCCTCCCCTGAGCGACATGGCCCCTGGGACTATGTACTAACTA